CGTGACATAATCCATCTGCGCAGGCGTGTTTGGAACGGGTGGGAAGGACGTATGCATGTCCGGGCTTGTTAGTCCCTGTGATTTTGTGTGCATGCCGAGCTGTTGACGTGTCAGCTACAGGCCACTGTGAAGTTCAACGGTTTAAGCTCTCACTTGCATTTGAAAATAACATGGCAGCCGCAGATTCCAGAGAGGTGAAGAAAGAAGAAAACCAGGATCAAGACCTCTACTGACAGAATGCACCAAAAGCTGTTGCCATGGTTTTGATAGAGAAAATAATTACTTCAGACCTACAGTATTTTGTATGGCTGTTATGAGCCATGTTGTAAGTTTAGTGATGAGGAACAGCAGAAGACAGAGGACATAGTCTGTAATAGCAACCAGACACCCTTTGGAATGGTGCATGGGCTATCTTTAGCCTCCATCAAAGGACACGGAGAGGGTAAGTAACAGGTATTAATTATTGCTATGTAAATGTTGATGGAGCAAATAGCACACTATGTTTTATATTTTGGAGTATCTGAATTAATACCGCCTAGACAAAGAGCAATTCAAAGCAACCTGCTTTCATATTCCAGCGGTAATTGCTGCTGGCAAATATCTTCTGAAGATTTGTTTGATCTAGAATGCAGCAATGATTCTGCTCTATCAGAATGGGCAGGCTATTTGCACAACAAGTTAAAGAGCTGTAATTCAAGTGAAGATTGTCTTACTTGTGACTGTGGGCATGGTTTGTGGGGTACAGAATGTCACCCGGAAAGGCCAACTTACTATAAAACAGCATGTTATGAAAGTTTACCTTCTTCTGATGATGGTGATGATGATGATGATGACGACAACGATGAGGGGTATTTTTCTGAGGGCGTAGGCATGCCCCTCTGGACTGTATACTGTATTACCAATAAAATTGTGTGTTAAAGGCAATGTGCAATCATTTGTCAGAGTTCTTTTGGTATAATGAAATATGAAGAGATTCTGAGGGCCATTTATTACACACCTTGTTCTGTGGGGAGCTATGGAGGTGTGAATTCCCTTTTTCAGGAGGGAAGAAAGCATGATAAAAACCTGTCCATGAAGCATGTCAAGACATGGCTTTCAGGACAAGATGCCTATACCCTTCATAAACCTGCAATAATTAATTTTCCTAGAAATAAAACAATGGTGGCTGGCATAGATCAACAATGGCAGGCAGATCTCATAGAAGTCTCCAAATTTTCTAAGGAAAACCATGGAAAAAAGTTCATCTTAACAGTTATCGGTGTGCTATCTAAATATGCTTGGGCCTACCCTCTATGTGACAAGTCGGGGAGAGAGGTCACAGCTGCCTTCCAGAACATCTTTGAAACAGGATGTGCACCCCAAAAAATACAGACAGATGCTTGTAAAGAGTTCTTAAATATTCCTCTGAAGAAGCTTTTAGTACGTTATGGCATTTTTCACTTTGTCACCCATAGTGAGACTAAAGCAGCCATTATAGAGAGGTTTAACCGTACTCTGAGAAACTCTGGAGATATTTTACAGCTAGAAACACCCAGCGGTACATAGACATTTTACCTACAATTCTTCAGGATTACAATGACACTTACCATCGTAGCATCTGGACTGCTCCTAATACCATAAACTTGTCTAACAAAAGGGAGGTGTGGGTAAGACTG